TGGATGTTCTTTGACTATGTTTAACTGTTCGTCCCAAATCCGCCTGTGGGAGGACATGCCCGACCTAACGATAATTGTTTGTTTCGTTTCTCGTCCTTTTAGGTCCTCTGTAGGGCTCTGGGGTCTTCCAGGGACCTTCTTGAAGCCTCCGGAGGGATAGAAACGGCGCTGTCGTCATCGTCCTGTTCCTCCGTCTCTCCCTCCTCCTGGGAGGGGCGGGGGCGATGCGGCAGGATGAGACGGGCAGATCAGCATTGTTCATTTCCGCTAGCTGCAATTCTGATCCTCCCTTTGCAGCACATTTAAACCTGACGCTGTCAAGCTCGTATCATGCAATATCGAATCGGAGTCTTGCCAGGGTGTGTTAATTCAGCTCAGGACAGTTCATCTCCATACAAATCAATCCACCTCAGAGCGAGGCGCTTCAGGGGGGGGCCAGCCACAGGGCGGCGACGATGTTATGAGATATGATGAGTCGTCTTCGAGGATGGAAGGAGTTGATATCTCTTCGGCGGAAGGCGGCGGAACCAACACGAGGCCGTCCCCGTCGGCGGAGGGTCGGTCGTCGCAAGTCGGCGGGAATAGCAATCGGCCTCCCAAGAGATGGCAAGGTTGTTTCGCTAAGGATTTTTGAGCCCGCCATGCCACCTCGTCCTCATTGCGTCAACCTGTGCCGCTCCCCCCGCCAGGCAAAATCTAGATGTTTCCCTTTTCTCCTGGAGACGTGTCCCAGGATCCCAAGGCGTCGGCGTGCACGTGCACTCGCTCCTCTGGCTTCGGGGGATCCCTCCCTAGGGCCACCTGCCCCCGCATCCCAGTCGTCGGCGGGCACGTGCACTCGCTCCTCTGGCTTCGGGGGACCCCTCCCTAGGGTCACCTGGCCCCAGTATCCCAGTCGTCGGCGGGCACGTGCACTCTCTCCTCTGGCTTCGGGGGATCGCCCCCTAGGACCTACCCCCCCGGAGGGGGGGACCGATGCGTCAGGAGGGCAACTTGTCAAAGGCTCCTTGCATTTCAGGGGCGGGGTGTTGGGAAGGGCCTTTCTAGGGGCCGATCCCCTCTGAGAGTCCCCTTGTCCCCCCTCTTCACCTCCCCCGATTATGCCTCTGTCGGGGATAGCCAGGACCCCGGTTAAGGGGTGCCGGCTAGTGATTGGGCCCCGAGGTCCAAAATGTGGACTGGAATCGCCAAGCCAGGTCTGCCGTAGCTGTGTGTTTTTCGGGTGACGGCAGTTCCGGTCAGTGGAAGGGGGCGGGGGGCGTCGTTCCGCAGTGCAGATCATGACACCAGGTCCCGCTATAGACCCAGTCTTGCCGACGCCCGACTCTGGGGCGAATGGCGGAGGGCCCGAGGTCCCAAGGAGGCCCCCGGGGCTCCAGTGGGGCCCAGCCACAGCCGGAGGGCGGCCGAGGACCTCCCTCCCCCGGACCGCCCGGGGGCGCGGCACCCGCCCCATATATGCACCCTCAAGGCATCCCAGGGACCTCTCGGTGCCTCCCAGAGTCTCCCTGACAGGGCTCGTTTCGATTCCTCCGATTCGATTCGATTCGACTTCGATGGCTTCCGATTCCGATTCGATTCGAATCGCGTATCCGATTCGGGCTCCGGTCATCTAATGGAGGCCTACCAGGCTGCCGACCAGATTCGTTTCGATCGCCGATCCGACTTGTCGACTCGACTCGATCCCCCCCGAGATTCGACGTAGCGAAGCATGGCAACATCGTCGGCCATCACGCCGGGAGCCCCGGACCCCATCTTTCTGCGCCAGTTTTCGAGCCCAGGCGGTCTGCGAGGGCCCCCGGCCCCGGCGGCTCAGCGCACGCGCCCGGCCCGAAGGAAAAGGGGGGCCGCCGGGATCTGAGGGCTCACAGGGCCAGGCAGGGCCTCCCAGGGGCCTCCCAGGGGCCTCCCAGGGGCCTCCCAGGAGCTCCCCGGGCCTCCCCTCAAGTCGGGCACGTCCCTCTACAGGAGGGATCTATTCAAACATAGTCAGAAAATATGATGGGGAGGATTGGTTGTACCATTTTGGAACGTTTTTGGAATGTGTTTGGGATATTTGCAATGTTTGGTCCAAGAAATCCGCCTGTAGGGGGACAGGCCCGACCTGAGCCTCCCCATGGTCCGCAGATGCGCCCGCGAGGCCCAGAAGAGATGCCGACAGGGCGGCCCCCCGAGCGGTCGGCCCCACCTCTCGGGTTGACCCGCAAGGGAGTTGCCAACTCCCGCGCGCATGCTCAAAATCCCTCAGCAATCGTCCCCCCGGTGTGGTTTTTTGAGGCGCCTGTTTTGCAACTGGGGGGGTCTGGTTCATTAGGGCGCTTTCTCTGGATTGGAGCCTAGGGGGTCCGGTCTATCAACCCGTCGAAGAGTCAAAGAGGGGGGTCTGGAATTTTAGGTCGCATTTGGAGGGGGTCCGGTTTTCTGGGGGAGGTCGATTGATAAGGGAATTTGAGTATTGTTTGAGCTAAGATAGGGTAGGAGGGCAGGAACATCGTTGTTGTCATCTGTAGCCGGTTGGCTCACAGTGGCGGGCGTGAGGGAGCACAATCGCCCAGAGCTCTTCCCAAGGGAGCGCCACGTAAAAAACTGACTCGGTGCGCAGCAGCCTGATATTGTGTCGGGGTCCAGCGACAAGGGGGTGGTGCAACAGATTTGGAGCAATAGATTTGTGGGGTTGCAATACGTTTGGGGCGTGCAATACATTCCGGGGCGCAATTGTATTGCTGGACTTTCGCGTGCGACGCACTACTTGCAATCCAATGCAATACAATACAATACAATGTAATACAACGCTCTGGCGCAATACATTTGCAATACAATTGCCCCAAATCTGTTACACCACCCCCTTCAGCTGGACACTTTCCTGGGTCACCCAAAACCTCCCCCTCCTCCGCCCGAGGGGCACCGGTGGCAAGCGCCGCCGGTCGTCGTGCCGCCCGCCGCGGCAGCTGGGACGCCGCAGGATGCGCGGGGGCCCTCCCGCGTCGGCGTGGGCCCCCCCACAGACCTCCTCGCGTTGCGAGAGGATATCGGGGCGGGAGGTGTTTCAGCATTGTCGGCCTCTGGGGACCCTCATCGGGCCTCGGCACCGCCAAATCAGCCTGGCGAAGGGCCCGTTGTGTGAGTACCTGAATTTTTGAATATCTTTTTCGGTGGCGTTGCCTAAGGGGCCGCGAACCCGGTGAGTGGTGTGCCGAAATGGGTGCGGCGGACGCATGCGGACGGTGGCACTGGGGCCTTCGGTGGAGCTCCCTATGGGGCCACACAAAACGTGTGAGGGGGGTGTCGAAATGGGTGCAGGGCTCCTGGCCTCGGCACCGTCGAAAAACGACTCGGGGCGAAAAGCCGGCCCCGGGGAGGGGGTCCAGACCTCGGGGGCCGGCGTGGTGAAAACGTCGGAGGTCTGGGCTGGCCGCCCAGCGCCTCGAGGCGATCGTGGCAGCCAGCTGTTCTTAGTCGCAGGCCTCTCGGGGCCTGTTCGGGGCTCCCGGGCCATCAGTCTGGATGGGGCCGGAGGCATCGCCGATGCGCCTCGATGTGGAGCCTGATTTTCTCCGCCGCGCTGGCGTCGCCGATGCATCAGATCTGCATCGACGATGCGGCGAGAGCCTCCGCCCCCATCTACTCCGCCCCCATCCGGGAGGTTTCTAGTCAAGGGCCTAGTCATAAGGAGTAACCAGCCTTGGGAAAAAGTCGGGTAGTCTGGGAGCACATCTCTCGACAAGAATCAGCCGCCAGATGTCTGGGTCTGCTGTGGGTCCCACATCCCCATCAGTCTCTCCCTCCTTGTGTCCCATCCTCCCACTCCGCCCTCCTTCCTCCTCCTTTTGCCGCTCCTCATGCTTGCTCATCATCCCCCTCCTCGTCCTCGTCGTCATCCACGTCTTCGCCTCTTCGTTGCTCGCTCCTCCCTACGTCGTAATATCTCCTCTTCCTCCTCCCTTGCCCTACCTCCTTCTCCCTCCTTGCTCACTCTCAAGCCGTTGTGACGCAAGGCGGACCATTTTGGCAACCCCAGCGCCAGACCCCCGCGCGCGGTGCTCAAGGGGGGCTCAGTCACCCAACATCCGTTTCATTAGTAGATCTGTGCAGGTAAGCGGGGTGATCTCTTCATGGCAGCGTCAGGTCCAGGGCCAAGGCGTTGGGCAACTTGCAAAAGGTGCCAGGCATCGGAGTGGAGCGGCATCCTCGAGAGCCGCGGGCTACAAAGCTGAAAGTCCCTCTTGGGCCGTCTTGGGGACCTCTTGGGCCGTCTTGGGGCCATCTTGGGCCGTTTCGGGGCCGTCTTGTAGGCCTCTTGGGCCGTCTTGGGGCTGTCTTCGGGGCCTCTTGGGCCGTCTTGGAGCGTCGGGAAGCCGAAAAGGCCAGAAGACCAAAACACACGGAAAACAAAATGGAAAATCAACAGTTTTAGCCTCTCGGGGCCCTCTTGGGAGGCTTGTTTGGGACCTCCTGGGCCGTCTTCGGGGCCTTTTGGCCCGTCTTGGGGTCATCTTGGGCGTCTTGGAGCGCTGGTTTGGCGTCTCGGTGCCCTCGTGGGCCGTCTTGGAGGCCTCTTGGGGCCTTCTTGGCCCATCTTTAGGCCTTCTTGGGCCCAGAAGAGCCCGTGAGTCGCTCGTCGGCCCCCCCCCCCTCCAAATCGACCGGACCGGGCTCCCGGGGGAGGGGTTTGGGGAGGGGGGGGCATCTCACACGCCGATGATCCCCAAGGGACCGGCGGATTTGTCGCGTTGCGTGCCGAGTGGTACACCTCCACCGCGGCCGCAACACCTCTTCTGCCACGATGACTCTGCTGCCATCGGTCCGCCAAAAGGGGGGCGGAATGGAGAGGGAATGAGAAGGCTTGCTGAGAGGATAATGCAGGGTTAAGGGCGATTGGAGTTCACCGCATAACATCTGTGGGAACATAGAGGGAGGTTATCATCTGCTGATTCATCATGAGTGGTCGAAGTTTTCTCTTCACTCCGATGCCGCAACATGCTAGAACCACGGCGCGCTCGCGCGCAGCGCGCGCGTGGTTCTATCTACATAAACATAAACTTTCGACGGTCCGCGCCGATGTTTTCGAACGGCGCTGGACCCCTTCCTTGGTGCGCGCCCGACGCCGAGTTTCCATGCTACTGCTTGTTCCCCGAGCCCCTGCCCGCCATGTGAGGGCCCTCGTCGTCGTCCTCGTCCTCGTCCTCGTCCTCGTCCTCGTCGTCGTCGTCGTCCTCCTTCTCCTCGTCGTCTTTGTGCCTCGCCTACGCCGCTCGCCCGCTCTCTTCTTCCGGCGGCCCGCTCTGCCCCTCCCGCCGGGCGGCGCCGCGCCATGGCGGAGCCTGCGGGCCAGGCGTGACGGGCTCGCGCGGGCACCCGCGGGGTGCACGCGTGGACGTGGCGCTCGCTCGCCCGCCCCGCTGCGGGATGGCGGGGCCGGAGCTGGTGTCGTCCAGCGAGGAGGACCCGCCTCGTTGACACGCCGCTCGTTAGGGAGCAGGTATTTTCTCTCGTGTCCCAAGGGTGGGGTGCTTCTCATTCTCTGACCGCGCCGGACTTCCTCACCTCCCCTCCCCTCCTCCTTCTCTGCACTAGACAATGACGATGACTGCCATGATGATGACCATGGTATGGTGAGAGTATGATGTGAGTATATTGGTGATGGTGAGTGCTGGATGATGATGGTGACGATGATGATGACAGTGATGATAATGATGATGCTGACGATGATGATGATGCTGCTGCTGATGATGATACTGCTGACGATGATGATGCTGCTGCTGCTGATGATGATGATGCTGATGTTGATGCTGATGCTGATGATGATGCTGATGCTGATGCTGATGCTGATGCTCATGCTGATGCTGATGCTGATGCTGCTGCTGCTGCTGCTGCTGCTGATGATGATGATGATGATGATGATGATGATGATGATGATGATGATGATGATGATGATGATGATGATGGAGCAAATTCTGAGGATGTCTCGAGCGAGGCTCCGATTTCAGCACTCCCAAGGGGTGGCCGCCAGGGGTACCTCACGGCCTTTGCATGCCCAACAGCCTCCGCTTTCGGAGCAGATTTGGAGGATGTGTCGAGCGAGGCGCTCATGTTCGCCCCCTAAGGGGGGCCAGATTTTGAGGATGTCTCGATCGGTTTGCCTGTTTTGGCCAGACTCGTGGGCACATATTCTCCCCATAATGCTACAGGAGGTTCTAGCAGGCTCCAAGAGGCCCCAGGAGGCCACATGAGGTCACAGGAGGCATCAGGAGGCCACAGGACTCAAGAGGCCACAGGATGTCCCAAGAGGCTCCATGAGGCCCCAGGAAGCTCCAGGAGGCCTCAGGAGGCTCCAGGATGCTTCAGGAGGCTTCAGGAGGCCACAGGAGGCCCTAGGAGGCCACAGGAAGCGCCAGGAGGCACCAGGAGGCCCCAGAAGGCAATAGGAGGCCCCGAGAGGCCCCAGGAGCAGGAGGCTTCAGGAGGTCGCAGCTCCTGGAACCATTCCCCATATCCACAGGATGCGGTTGCTGTTATTCTCTGACCGCGACGGACCTCTCCCCTCCACTCCTCCCTCTCTGCACTAGGCAATGACGATGATTGCCATGATGATGATGATGATGATGATGATGATGATGATGATGATGATGATGATGATGATGATGATGATGATGATGATGATGATGATGATGATATTGATTGATTGATTGATTGATTGATTGATTGATTGATTGATTGATTGATTATTGATGATGATGATGATGGTGATGATGATCATCATGGCCATGGTATGATGAGAGTATGACGTGATTATGATGGTGATGGTGAATGATGGATGAGTATGATGATGCTGCTGATGGTGATGCTGATGATGATGCTGCTGATTATGATGATGCTGCTGATGAGGATGATGAGGATGACGAGTAGGATGATGATGATGCTGCCGCTGCTGCTGCTGCTGCTGCTGATGATGATGATGATGATGATGATGATGATGATGATGATGATGATGACGGAGCAAATTCTGAGGATGTCTTGAGCGAAGCTCGGGTTTTAGCACCCCCAAGGGGGGGCGCCAGGGGTATCTCACGGCCTCCGTTCGCGCCAAAATGGCGGCGGCGTCTCGAGCGGTTTGCCTGTTTGCATGCCCAGCATCCTCCGCTTTCGGAACATATTTGGAGGATGTCTCGAGCGAGGCGCTCATGTTCGCCCCCAAGGGGGGCCAGATTTTGAGGATGTCTCGATCGCTTTGCCTGTTTTGGTGGCCAGACTCGTGGGCACATATTATCCCCAGGATGCTACCGGAGGCTCCAGCAGGCTTCAAGAGGCCCCAGGAGGCCACATGAGGTCCCAGGAGGCATCAGGAGGCCACAGGAAGACTCAAGAGGCCACAAGATGTCCCAAGAGGCTCCAGGAGGCCCCAGGAAGCTCCAGGAGGCCTCAGGAAGCCACAGGAGGCCCCAGGAGGCCACAGGAAGCGCCAGGAGGCCGTTGAAGGCAACAGGAGGCTCCGACAGGCCCCAGGAGGAGGCCTCAGAAGGCAACAGGAGTGGCTCCAATCCGATATGTTTTACGTGTGCTCCTATAGATTTGGCCTCACCTGGAGCACGAATCCTTGATGTTATACGTACATGTATGTATTTATGCATGTATGCATGTATGTATGTATGTATGTATGTATGTATGTATGTATGTATGTATGTATGTATGTATGCATGTATGTATGCATGTATGTATACATGTATATATGTATATATGTATATATGTATATGTATATATATATATATGTATGTATATCTATAATTATATATATAGAGCTTTCTCTCTCTCTCTGAGTAGGCCGGGGGGGCCAACATCGGTGCCGTCATCCCCCATGGCCGCCCCCCCGAACCTTTGGGGGGTCATAGACTCCTCGCGACTGCCCCGGGCCGCTTCCAAATTGCCCACGACAGGCCACGCGGGCCGTACAGATAGTTAAAAAAGCCTCTAGAGGCCCCGAAGACGCCCGAGAGCGTCCCAAGAGGGCCCGAGATGGCTTGAAGATGGCCGACGAGGGCCCCGAGAGGGCCTTCAAGAGGCAAACATCGGCCCGTTCCCGTGGTAAAACGTACATTTTCAGCATACTCCCTTGCTTCGTCTTCGCAGTACCCCAGGCGCCCCAAGACAGCCCAAGAGAGACCCAAGAGGGCCCCAGACGACCCAAAGGGTCGTTTTGTGGGGCTCACGGAACCCCCCGAGACGGTCCAAGAGGGCCCGAACGAAGCCGGCCCAGGAGGCCCCCAAGATGGTCTCAGGGAGGCCCAAGAGGGCCTCGTTCGAAATCATGTTCCCGGAAGCCTCTCCGGGAACATGACTTCTGGTCTCCCCGGACGCCCAAGAGGCCCACAAGACAGCCTCAGCGAGGCCCCAGAGGGCCCGAGATGGGTTGAAGATGGCCGAAGAGGGCCCCGAGAGGGCCTTCAAGAGGCAAAAATCGGCCCGTTCCCGTAGTAAAACGTACATTTTCAGCATACTCCCTTGCTTCGTCTTCGCAGTGCCCCAGGCGCCCCCGCGGAGCCCCAAGACAGCCCAAGAGAGACCCAAAAGGCCCAAGAGGGCCCCGTTCGAAATCATGTTCCAGAAGCCTCTCCGGGAACATGATTTCCCGGTTCCCAGGACCACCTAGAGGGCCCCAGGAAAGCCTCAGCGAGGCCCAAGAGGGCCCGAGATGGCTTGAACTCCCTTGCTTCGTCTTCGCAGTTCCCCAGGCGCCTCCGCGGAGCCCCAAGACAGCCCAAGAGAGACCCAAGAGGGCCCAAGCCAAGACGGCCCAAAAGGGTCGTTTTGTGGGGCTCACGGAACCTCCCAAGACGGCCCAAGAGGCCCCAAAGCAAGCCCAGGAGGCCCCCATGATGGCCTCCAGGAGGCTCAAGAAAGCCTCGTTCGAAATCATGTTCCCGGAAGCCTCTCCGGGAACATGATTCCCGGAGACAGCCCCCAGAGGCCCCAGACACGCCGAAGATGGCCTCAGGACGGCCGACGACGCCGCCAAAACGCCCCAAGAGCGCCTCCAGAGGCGCCTCCAAAGGGCCCCAGAAGCCGAAAATCATACATTTTCCAATGGTTTTTGAAGCATTCTTGCGCTCTCCCATGTTCCGCCTCCCCACATGTTCCGCCTCCCACGGTCCCCGACCGCGGCCCTCAAGAGGCCCTTCCTTCGTCGTCCCAAGACGCGAAGAGGCTCCCATGAAAGCCCAGAGACGGCCATGAGGCTTTTTTTTTTATTTTTTTTTTTTTTTTATCTTATTTCTCTTTTTTTTTTTTTTTGATAGTGTTTTTTTTTATCTTTTTTTCTCTTATTTTTTATTCTTAACTTATTTGAAATCCATTGAATTACTACAATATTTCCATATATCCCCCCCCCCCCCCCCCCCCCCCCCCCCCCCCCCCCCCCCCCCCCCCCCCCCCCCCCCCCACCCCCCCCCCCCCCCCCCCCCCCCCCCCCCCCCCCCCCGAAGAGAGCCCCAAGAGCGACCTAAGAGGGCCCGAAGAGCGCGACAGTTTAAGGTCTTCGGCCTGAGAGGCTCCTAGGACGCCCCCCCCGGAGGCCATCAAGAGGCTCCCAAGAAGCCCCGTGAGGCCCCCAAGAGCCCCCCGGACGCCCCACTAGGACCCCAAGGGGCCCCCAGGGAAGCCCCTATGCGGGCCCCCAAGACACTTCGGTAAATCGTATTTCCCAGATAGCTTTCCGGGAATATGATTCCTTGGGCTTCCGCCTACCGCCCCAACGATGTTTCCAGTAGGCTTGCCGACAAGGCCAGAAGGCGCCCCTCGGTAAGCCCCCAGAGGCCCCCCTCTTAGAGAGCCGAACAAATCATGCCCACCGGGGGTTGCGTGGGGGGGGGTGGGTCAAAAAGCTCCCGAGGCAGCCCGAGACCCGCCCGAAGCAGGCCAAGAGGCCCCGAAGACGCCCAAGCTGCCCTCAAGGCAGCCGACGAGGACTCCAACACGCTCCAGGACGGACTCAAGAGGCTCCCCAAGAGGGCCCTGGAAGGCAAGCTTCACTCGTTTTCCAAATGTTTTGGATTTTGGCGTTCTCGCTTTTTCCCGCTTTCCAGCGCTCCCTCACGGCCTCGGAGGCCTTTCAAATCGCTCCAAGAAGGCCCACGAGGCCCCGACGAGGGCTCCAAGACGGCCAAGGATGCTCCCCAGACAACCCAAGTGTGCCCCAAGAGCGCGCCAAGAGAAGGCCCAGAGGGGTCCCGAGGCGGCCCGGGCCCACCCTGAAGCAGGCCACGACAGGCTAATGGAGGTCCCGAGAGGGCCCTAGACAGTCCCAAGAGGCCCCGAAGACGCCCAAGCTGCCCTCAAGACGGCCGACGAGGACTCCAATACGCTCCAGGACGGACTCAAAAGGCTCCCCAAGAGGGCCCTGGGAGGCAAGATTCACAACATTTCCGATGGTTTTTAAAGGATTTAGGCGTTCTCG